ATGTCCTAAAATACAAAAACTCATATTACTGCTGGGTGGTGGTGGCCCATGCCTTTAAATCTCAGCACTAGGGAAGCAGAGGCAGGAGGATCTATGTGAGTTCCAGGCCAGCGTGGTTTACAGCTTCAGTGCCAGGACAAGGCTCCAAAGCTATACAGAGAAACCCTGTCTGGAAAAACAAAAAATAAAACAAACCAACAAACCCCAACTCACATTACTGTCTCACTTTACACACCATACACAAGATCAAACACTACACTAACTAGTAACTTTTACAGCACTCTGACAGTGTAAGAATAGAGCAGTTTGGCTTAATTTATTCAAAGGTGAAAAAAGTTATCGTCAGGAACACAGGCACACCTGATTCCAGGACGAAGAGGCTTCTAGACTTCTGAGAAGCTGAGGTCAGGCCACCTAACTCTCTTCATAGCACCCACTTTTCTTTTCAGGCAGAGACTTATAAAACAGAACACAGGCAAGATGGCGGTGGCAAACACCTTTAGGGGAGTGGAGGCAGGCAGATCTCTGAGCTTGAGGCGAACCTGATCTAGAGTTCCAGGGCAGCCAGGGCTACCCTGTCTCTGAAAAACAAAAAAACATAAAAGTGTTCAGGATTACACGTCTTTAATCCCAGTACCAAAGCAGAGGTAGTCAGCCCACCGTGAGTTCAAGGCTGCCAACAATATAGAGAAATCTTAAAAATCCAAAAATAGCCGGGCGTTGGTGGGGCACGCCTTTAATCCCAGCACTCGGGAGGCAGAGGCAGGTGGATCTCTGTGAGTTCGAGACCAGCCTGGACTACCAAGTGAGTTCCAGGACAGGCTCCAAAGTCACAGGCTAGGGCTGTCTCCAAAAACCAAAAAGGAAGAAGAGGAAGAAAAACCAAAAATAAATAAGGGGGAAGGTGTCTAAAGGCCTGGTTTTTACCCCCCAACCCAGTACTAAAAAGACCAAAAGGGGAAAGAGAAGAAAACTACTCTTTCACCTCCTGCCAGAAAAAGTGACCAGTCAATATTAAGAAATCTACTTCTCTGCAGATTTCTCACCAAGTGTGGAAGTATACTATCATTTCAGTGTTTGGCAAAAACAGAGGACTCAGAGCTTAAGGGCAGCCTGGACTACATAATGAAGATCGATCTTAAAAAAAGAAAAAGAAAGGAAAGGAAGGGAAGAGAGTGGATTTACTTCTGATAAGGCCAAGGCTCCCACTATGAAGTCACTTTGGATTGGGGCAGAAGGGCTGCTGTGGAAGTCATGGTTCAAGAGTCCTCTTACTATCAAACCGTTTGTTTTTTGTTTTTCCAGACAGTTTCACTGTAGAACTCTGGCTGTCCTGGAACTTACTCTGTAAACTCACAGAGATCCGCCTGCCTCTGCCTTCCAATGCTGGGATGAAAGGTGTGCACTACCACTACCTAACGTTTCTACTAAACTCTTCATTTCCAGGCCTCTTCCCTCTTTTAACACCAACAAGGAAAATCAATTTAGTATTCTGCCAGGTCCCAATTTAAGGCTGAAGACAGGAGAAGAGAAAAACCAATCAATGTGGAGCTGATGAGGAGGCTCAGTGGTTAAAAGCATTTCTACCAAACACCACAGCCCACATGGTAGGATAGTTGTCCTCTGATCTCCACCCACACCTTGTGGCAAACACAACTACACCAAATAAACCTTTTACAAACTAAAATGATAATTAAAGTGAAGCATGCATGAGACTGAGTTAAATTCCCAAAACACATAAGACAGCTGATATCACCTAGGTGCCTGACACCATCTAAAGAAGTCAAAGGATCCTATCAATATCCATCAGAGAGGCAATGCTGACACCACTTTTGTTTGTTTGTTTGTTTTTGTTTTTGAGACAGGGTTTCTCTGTGGCTTTGGAGGCTGTCCTGGAACTAGCTCTTGTAGACCAGGTGGTTTTGAACTCAGGGATCTGCCTGCCTCTACCTCCCAAGTGCTGGGATTAAAGGCGTGTGCCACCACCGCCCTATAGCCCGACACCACACTTGTTTCTGATTGAAAAAAAAACAAACCAGGATTTCAATGCCAGGTGCATTTGGTTTTCAGGGCAGTTCAAATGATCTTATTACAATTCTCAACATTTAAACCCTTGTCCTTAGTGAAACCCAAATGGCAACAAAATGGAATCTAGCCAGGCAGGGGGCACACACCTAATCCTAGCATTTGGGAGACAGAGGCAGGCACATCTCTATAAATTCTAAGGCAGGCTGGTCTACATATAGAACTCCAAACCAGCCAGAGCTACCTAATGAGACACTGTGTGTGGGGGTGGGAGGTGGGGGTGGGGGTGGGGGGAGTGGAGAGGGAAACTCAAACAAATAAACAAAATGGAGAGCACAAGCCATCACCTTTAGGGGAAAAAATTCTCTTGGTTAAGCCCAATTTGAAAGGTAGAAAAGCAGGAGGATTACTGCAAGTTCAAACCCAGCTTAAAGTTCAAATAGTTAGTTCTAGGACAGCCTTACCCTGGCACAAAGGGGGGAGGGAGGGAGGGAGGAAGGAGAGAGAGAGAGAGAGAGAGAGAGAGAGCGCTTCTCTGTTACAGTGGCAAACCCTTTCATCCCAGAACTAGGGAGGCTGAGGAAGGCAGATTTCTAGATTTCTTGAGAATTTGCGGCCAGTATGGTCTACTTAGAGAACTTCAGGACAGCCAGGGCTATAATGATACTGTCTCAAAATACAAAACAAACCAAATAAATAACAAAATAATAAATAAAAGTTGTAAAAAACCTCCCACTTTGGTTGGGTGCCCACATCAGGCAGCTCACAACCACCTCTAACTAGCTCCAAAGCCTCTGACCTACAAGAGCAAGCATTTCACTCACAAGCACACACTCACATGCAGACCCAGTTTTTAAATAATTTAATCATTGCTGTTTTGCATGTCTGTATGTCTGTGTGAGGGTGTTGGATCCCCTGAAATTGGAGTTGCAGACAGCTGTGAGCTGTCAGGTGGTTGCTGGCAACTGAATCCCAGTCCTCAGGAAGAGCAGCCAATGCTCTCAACCAATGAACCATTTTCCAGTCTCTGTAGACCCATAATTAAAAATAGTAAGAACAGCTGGGCAGTGGTGGCACATGCCTTTAATCCCAACACTTGAGAAGCAGAGGCAGGCAGATCTCTGAGTTTGAGGTCAGCCTGGTCTACAGACTTAATTCCAGGACATCCAAGGCTACACAAAGAAACCCTGTCTTGAAACACACACACACACACACACACACACACAGGTGGAGGGTGGGGGAGAGAGGTGCTAGATGGAGATGGCTCAGCAGTTAAGAGCACTGGCTGCTATTACAGAGGACGAGTTCAGTTCCCAGCATGCACAAGACAGCTCAGCTCAACCATCTTGAAACCCCAGTTCCAGGGGATCCAAAGCCCTCTTGAGGTCTCTATGGGCACAAATACACATGCAGGCAAAACACAGACACATAAAGTAGAGCAATTAAAATAAATTTAAAGGAAAAAGAAAATGTGGACACAGGCACAACTATACACAAGAGGAAAAAATTCCCAAGTTTCAAGAAATGTTCTATAGACAAAAGAATTAAATCATGATAGCAAATTCCCTTATTAGTTCTGTAGAGGTTAAAACTTACAGGAACCCAAGTCAACGAACAGGTTTCCCTGAAGGACTAGACTAAATCACTTCTAAGGAACAAGTTTCTAGCTCTCATTTATAATCAGGCCCCATCCCTATGTACAAATTATAGAACATACACCTTCCCCATTTCCTCTCTTTCCACTTCTCCAAGTGCCCTTCTTTTCACAAGTTTACTTGCTCAGATGCTCTGGAATAAAGAAACTGTCCACTTAAAAACGCTAAGCAGCATCGAGAAGCCTCTCTCATTCCATAAAGATCCAAGTTGTCTTGGCAGCTTTCTAAGTAGTAAAGTAGGCACTGCTGGTGATAGCTCGGTTTGGTTCCCTATGACCTCTAGATTGGAGCAGGAAAGGCGGGGTGTATGTGTGTGTGTGTGTCAGTCCCCAGAATGGTCAGTCTATAAAGGAGGATCAAGATCAGTCAGTGCTCAACTGTACTTGACCACTGGCGGACAAATGAACGTTACTTACAGTGGGAAAAGTCTAATGAAAGGTCTCTAGGGCCACACGTCTGGCAAGCTCCAAGCCTGTCCACCAGGCCTCAGAAAATGAAACCAAATCAGATTAAAATGGACATTTCAAAACAAGAGACGCGGCATCGAACGCACAGCTGCCATTTCCCGGCCACTTCCTGCGGGAGGCTGGGGGAGGGGAGGTTTGTGTACAGATGGAGGTGGTGGCAGCTATCCCCACCACCACCACCACCACTCCCCCGAAGGATACAAATCCCTCACTCCAGTAAAGCTCCACAAAGGACGCCTGCTATTGGCATTGACTCCTGGAAGTCGGGAGCGCCGGGAAAGAAAGGAATGACGAGAGCGAGCATCGTCTCTGCTACGGAAACGGGGATCCCCTCTACAGAGGGTTTCCTAGGGAAAGGAATCCTCTTTATTCTTCCCCTCAGCTCTGCGCCCGCCCGACTCTAGCCCGGACGCCTCCGAGTACGACTACGATCAACCTGCATCTCCCTAGCAGGGGAGTCTGCGGGGGCTCCGGGGCCCGGATCAAGAAGGCAGTGTCCCCCGCCAGCCGGGCGCTCTGCATCCAGGTCAGCACGGAGGGAGACGTGAGGGCTCCCAGGGAGCCAGCCTCCGACCCCTGGAAACACCTCCCGCCTCCACACACAGACTCGCACACCTCAAGGCGAGCGCACCCAGGGGAGCCCATCCCGGGGACGCCGCCGGCCGGAGCCCCGTCCTCGTCAGCCGCCGCCACCGCCCCCGCCCCGGCCGGGGTCCCCCACAGCCTCGCCGGCCACCGGGGCAGTGTCCCCGCCGGGAGGGAGCCCCGTCCGTTAGGCAGGGCGCGGCAGCCGCCTGAGGGGCGCCCCGAAGAGCGCGGGACTCCCGGCCCTGGTCACACACACCCTACCCACCTGAGGCGGCGGTCAGCCGGATGGGGCGCGCTTCTCCCCGGGGGACGGGCGGGTCACATGGCCACGCTCCGGGCGCTGGGACGGAGGAGACGCCCGCCCGCCGGCCCGCGGGGAAGGGGGTACGGGGTGCGGGGTCCGGGAGGGGGACGGGGTCGCGGCTCAACCGCGGGGCCCGAGCGGAGCCAACATGGCCGGCGGGGGAGGAGGGAGCCGGAGCCGAGGGGGCGGGACTCTGGCTGCGGCCCGCGGAGCCGCCCACCCGGGTCGAGGCCTCCGGGTCCTAGAGCCCGCCGTCTCTCAGTGAGACCCACATCTGGGTCCTAGCGCCGCTCTCAGTCCGTGCTTCACCCGCGTCTCATCGAGAGCAGTAGTCTCGCTGAATTCACCCAGGTCAAACCGAAAGGCGAGCCATACCGCAGGGTTAACCTAAACGACGACTAGAGCACGTTTCTAGGGCGAAAGGCAGATAGATGATGCTTTTTTCTGTGAGGGGATGCCTGGAGGATAACTCCCGGGCTGCTTATTTCCTCAGCAAGGTGGTGAAAAAGTGGAAGTTAATCGTTAGGGGGCGCTTTACACCAGGTAAAGGGATGAAGCGAGAAGAAGCAGGAGTCCACTCACCTATGGTTCTGGAGGGACAGCCTGGTCCTGCCTGGATCACCACTTTCCTGGTGACATCCGCAGGGCCTTGAACGTCGAAGAGATTCCTGCACGTGAGGAGAGGAGACTGGGCTCTGAGTCTAGCCTAAATGTGACCAAAGGGTAGAAGATAAGCAGTAAACTAATCAACAACTAAAATGTCCCAAATTTTACTTTTCCTAACTAAGGCTACATAGCTGTGTTCTTTGGAGAGAATGGAAAGTGAAATCTAGCAAGGAATTAATTTGGTTTTGAAGCCCGGCGTTGGTGGTGCACGCCTTTAATCCCAGCACTTGGGAGGCAGAGGCAGGCAGATCTCTGTGAGTTCAAAGCCAGCCTGGTCTACAGAGCTAGTTCCAGGACAGCCTCCAAAACAATACAGAGAAACCCTGTCTCGAAAAACAAAACAAACAAACAAACAAAGAGTTTGGCTTTGAAAAAAAAAAGCCGGGGGTGGGGGTGGGGGGTGGCAGCGCACGCCTTTAACCCCAGCACTCAGGAGGAAGAGGCAGGCGGATCTCTGTGAGTTCGAGACCATCCTAGTCTATGAGAGCTAATTACAGGACAGCCTCCAAAGCCACAGAGAAACCCTGTCTCGAAAAAATAACAACAAAAAAAAGACTTTGCATTCTCCTAAATGTGTATTGCAGGAAGCCAAGATAGGAAACAGCTCGCAGCTTACTGATTTTTTTTTCCAAGACAGGGTTTCTCTGTGTAGCCCTGGCTGACCTTGAACTCACAGAGACTCGCCTGCCTCTGCCTCCTCCACCACCTGGCACATACTGATTTTTTAATTCATACTTCTCATTTGCCACGTGAAGAAACAGCTACAGAGGCTTGCTGACTGGCTCAAGGTCCTACATTAGCTATAATACGAATAGAAAAGAAACTTCACTCCCTTCCCTTACAACTCAAGACTTTTCTGACTTCATAATTCCCCCTTAACCCAATGAGCTGTAATCCTAGAATATAAACGATTGCCTACACAGTTCAAAGCTAAGTCTGAATACCTAGGAAGAGCAACAGACAGAAAAGGGGCAACGAAATTCTGGCTGGTTGGGAGGTGTCAACAAATACCATCTCCTCTGAGGGACGCTAAGAGATTGGAAAGCTGGGTGTGGGTAGAATACGGTAGAGCCAAATCCAGCAGTCTAAATTGGCTTTCCTTACTCCTGAGGGGGATCCTGAAAGGGGGTCACACATCCCACCCAACACAGACAGTTCAGAACGGAAAGTCTGCCGACAACATGGGCCAGCAGAGGTTCAGGGGGTTCCTCCGCCCTCCTGAGGTAAGTAGATTACCGAGGGAAAGAGGAGACGGGGAAACAAAATATTTCTCTTTTCCGTCCAAATGGGTTTATAAAGTCGGTCACTGGTGGCCCACGCCTGTAATCCCTACACTGGCGGGAGATGGAGATGGGAGGGCGGCCATGCGCTCAAGGCCGGCTTGGTCTACATATCGAGTTCCAGGCTAACCAGGACTACAAGGTGAAACTTTGGAAAAACCAAAAGGAGATTTATAGGTCACCTGAGGGGGACACACACCTCACCCCTCCGACAGCGCACACTCAAGGGATGGGAATTCTTCCTTCTGCAGAAAGAAGCAGACTTATGCTATGGAATGCTAGCCCCCAAATAAACAAGAAAAAATAAACGTTACGTTGGAACTGCCACCTAAGGGCAGGAGGGGGAAGAGGCAGGTGCCGAGGGAAACTGGTGTCCTTTTTTCCCCTCCTCTTCCTTCTCCAGGGCAGATGAATCTCCGTACCTCCCACCAAACCAGTCCCGGACCGGGCAGGCAGGGGAGGAGCCTGCGCCAGCCAGACGTCCGTGACCACGCCCCTTCGCTTCACCACCACACACCCACACACACCCACTGCCGGCTCCGGAAGAGCCGGTTACTCCTGTGCCCTACTGTCCCCACCCCTTCCGAGCCCAGGCCTAGTCTCCTGGGCAACCTCTAGGCCCTAACCCAGCCTCGAGCCAGGAAGGAAAGGTGTCTGCTAAAGGACCACCTGGGATTAGCTGGGGAAAACAGGGCGTAAAGCATTTCCCCCCTCGTCGGGTGACCACGAATAAAATCCTTCTTTATCCCATTTAATCTGGGTTCTTCCCTGCTCTCTGAAGGATATGGGTGGGCTGGGGATATGTCCCAAAGCTAAGTGTTTCCTTTTTGCCAGACACGACACTTGTGAGCCCCCGTCCCCACGCCAAATCTGCACAACAGAGGGTATAATGACCCCATATGTCCCCAAACATTTCTCAATCCCATAAAACGCGGCCGGCTGTCCAACAAACCCCACCTTAAGAAGCTTCTGAAGAGAGAAAGGAGCCAGCGATCATTTTATCAGACCGAACCTCCCTCAAAACAAGAGGGTGAGAAATGAAAGGAGGGGTGAACGCCCGCTCCCCCTCTTCTCACACACCCCGTGTTCCACCGTACCTCTCTAACTCTGGGGTCAGCTGCCAGAGTGCCAGCCACTCTGGAGCCAAATGGGGGGCTATGAGGGCGGTGGTGGTACAGCAGCCTAGCTCTGTCTTCCCCTGCGCTTCCCGACACTGCAGGCATGCATCCCCAGACACCACAGGCTCACCCCAGCACCCCCAAAACCCCCCCACACACTGTCCTCCCAGCACTCTGGGTGGTGACTCACAACAGTATGAGCCGCCCTGACAGCCAATCCTGTGATTCTAGAGGCCGGGGCTCCAGAGGAGCAGCTGGGGGCTCAGCAGGACTCGGTGGAAGGAGTATCCCCACTCGCTGACCGAACCGATAACTGTAGCCACTGCTCGCTCGCCCCCCTACCTATCTATATTCCCATCGGTCCCCTTCGCCACTCAGGCTCAGGCAAGACAAGCTCAATGTATTTTGGGAAGGCTAGATCCCCTCATAGTAAACCAAAAGGGATACAACCCCTCCCCTCCTCCAAGTGGGCCTGCGCCCCTCGGATTTAGTCTCGTTTCCAGTTTCCCAATGGGCAGCTCCACGGTAGGGATGTAAGAAGACAGCGACAGCTATTTTTTTTCCTCTGGAGTCATCTGAAACAGAGAAGCTCGGGTTTCCTTTGCCTCACCCGGCACCCCAAATCCCTTAGAGACTCAGCCCGGGTCTGTTCTGCCGCAACAGCCGCCGAGGCCCAGGATCACAAGGTTCCCGCAGCGCGCTGACCCCCAGCGCCGGGACTAGGGGGAGGGGCCAGCTCCGAGCTCGGGCGAGCGCCCTTCCCACCTCGATCAGGGGGCGGTGCTGAGCTCCGACCCCAAACTCCCGCGGAGAAGGAAGCCTGAGGTGCGACTGGATTGAACTTGAGGGCGAGCGAGGCCCGGCGCTCAGAGACCGCGGCGTGCGTTGTCCCTCCCGCCCTTACGACGGGGAGTTGCCGGGGTGGCGGTTATCCCCCCTCCCGCTGGGGTTAGGATGGCGTGGGAAAGCGCTAGTTGCAGAGCAGAGGAGGAGAAGCCCAGACCGCGGCGGGAGATCCTCCCGGCGAGGAGAGGAAGGCGCGGGGGAGGGGAGATCCCGGGCCGGCACAGGAGGGCTCCCGGGAGAGGATGGCGGAGAGGCGTGAGAAGCATCCCGGTCACAGAGGACAGGGGAGGAACGGGCGAGCCGACGGTGCGGGGGAGACAGGAAGGTCAGACCCGGGATCCCACGGCCGGAGGCGGCTGCAGGGGACGCCCTGGACTCCGGGCCTGGAGGTGGATGCCGGGCCTCACCTGAAGCAGGGCCGGGTCGGACGGCGGCGGCGCAGGTGGCGGAGCCGGGCGGCGGCGCCTCCTCCCCCAGCCCGAGGCCGGCGGCGATGGAGGGGGGAGGTGGCGCTTAAAGGGGCAGGAGCTACCCGGGTGAGGACGAGCGCTCAGGGACGGCTGTCGCGGAGGATCCGCTGGGGGAGGGGAAAGCGGGTGGCGTCTCCTAGGGGCCAGAACCAGAAAGGATCCCAGATGCAGGAAAAGACCGAAACTTCTACGGCGTAGTTGGGAATGGCGGTGGGTCTGAACCAGAGTACTTTAAGATCCTCTCTCTCTCTCTCTCTCTCTCTCTCTCTCTCTCTCTCTCTCTCTCTCTCTCTCTCTCTCTCTCTCTCTCTCTCTCTCTCTCTGTCTCTGTCTCTGTCTCTGTGCGGGCACCCTCGGGCGCCAGCAAAGGAGGCTGGGGAGATGGTGGAAGCCACCGAGATTCTAGGGGAGCAGGAGAGGGAGCTCCAGGCCGAGCATGGCGGGGTCATGCACGCACAGCGAGCGCCCTGCTAGGTAAACACGCTTCTTCCGGGCTCCGCTCCGTACTACAGCTGTGGAGACTCCGGAATCAGGAAGCCACACAGGCGAAAACCCTCCCTGTCCTGTCAACCCTCTGGGTACTGTGGAGGCCATCCACAGCGGCGTAGTGAGGCTGAGCAGGACTGTGAGAGTCGGCTTTATTCACAGCTCAGATTGGCCCCGGCCACCGCCACCGCCACCACCACCCTTGCAGCAACCTCTGGGGCAACAGGAAGCAGCTGCTCAGTGCATCCCCGACCTGGTGGTGGGTTAGAACGGGGGGAAGGGGGAAGACTAGACTTTAAAGGCCTGAGAAGCTACGGGAAGGGGAAGCATCTCTAACAGGACCAAGAGTGGACTTAGTGGTGATTACTGTAAAATACTACTTGAATCTCGGGCGCTTCAGTGGGGGTGGGGGAGGAAGGAAGCCCTAACCTAAGATACAGCCCCAGGCTCTTCCTTAGAACTGGGTTTGCCAATGCTAGGACCTCATGAGGAGAAGCTCACCAGCTGAGCCCTGTGTCCCCACAGTCCATTTCCTCGCCTTCGCCCCCCAAAAGAGCAAAGGTTAGGCCCCACCCCTGCTGAGTCAGCCGGGGAGGGAGCTAGGCATCCCTCAGGCCTTTCCCAGGGGCTATCAGACTTACCCATGTCAGGCAGGCTGGCAGGACTCCAGATGAGGAGCCAGCTTGTCACCGTCCTTGGGTCTCGCTTCAGTGGAAGGCTACAGTTAGGTCCTCCCCAAGTATAAGCTGGGAACTCGAGAAAACAAACAAACCAAAAAAGCCAATGTATGCTTCCTGCGAAGCACACAGTCTGAACTGCTGTAGGGTGATGTCCCTGTGTGACAGACTGGGGTGGGAGGGAGGAGGCGGGGCTTCCACTGGGTGGAGAGAGGGAGGAGGCGAGGGCAGGGCGGGCCAGGAGAAATATGGAGGAAGGTTAGAGCTGTGTGAACACTTCGGGACTGTGGTAGGAGAGGGTAGTAAAGGGAGAAGGAGGCAAAGAGTTTCCGCTAACGAAAGGGTAAAGGTTCTTGATAAAGGTTGGGGGACATAAACACGGGGATGCAAATATCAGTTTCCAAGTCTGTATTTGGGTAACAAAACAAAAAGGGGTGACCAGCTTCTTACCCACTCCAGTCAGGATCTGGAGGTGGTGTCCTCACCCCCTAACAGCATTTCCCCCAATCCAAGCTTCTCCAGGAGCAAACTACCAAGCACAAATAACTCAGGAGCGCCACCTTCTGTCCAGATCTTGACACGGGCGGGACTGGAGTCAAGGACGTCATAGATGGGAGGAAGCTTGAGGCCTCTACTCCACCCCAGGAGCCTCTCCCAGAGCCCTTCCTCAACCCTTCAGGCCACAAGGGGCTCAGACTTTGAGACTGGCAGTCACTCTCAAGTTTCTGTCCTATGTAAACAACCTTGCAAGGTGGAGCTTATAGACGCAGACTCCGCAGGACGAAAGCCCCAGCTGGTTTGTAAACAGTCATTAGATGGCAGAAGTACCCCCTAACAAATAGCCTTTAATACATTTCAGACGGGTGAGATTCTGGTTCTTGTCGTCTTAAACTCTGCCACAAGAGGACGCTAGCTGGACTCAAACACACTGGAGGGCACAAAGTATGCCCTTCCTAATCTTTCAGGGATCTTAGCTGGCAGAACCTCAAAACATGCAAGTCTAGGTTTGTTGAAATATCTGGAGTCTGTGTATTAGGATCTTTCTGAAGAATGAAGGGCTAGACAAGACCCTCAATTGTAACATAATCAACATTTTCTAAAAGCTTAATCCCTGTCTTGAAAGAAGTCAACCTGTTTTCCAGAGATCCTTTTAAAACCATCCTGCAGGCTGGAGATTGCTTAGTGAATGATTAAGAGCACTGGCTGTTCTAGAGGACCCCAGTTCAATTCCTAGTACCCACCTGGAACTCAAAACTCTACAGCTTCAGTTCTGGAGGAGCTTATGCCTTCTGGAAAATGCAGACATAAAAATCATCTTGCACACTAGGTCTGTGTACTCAGAAGCAGGTTCCAATTGTAAAGTGTATAATCTCTAAAGGGAGGTCCAGGATAGCCAGGAGTATAGTGCGAGACTGCTTCAAAAGAATTAACCAAGCCAAGTCTTTAATCCCAGCACTCGGGAGGCAGGAGGATATCTGTGAGTTCCAGGCAAGCCTTGTCTACAGAGGATGTTCCTGGACAGGCTCCAAAACAACACAGAGAAACCCCATCTCAAAAAACCAAAAAAAGGAAGCCGGGCGTTGGTGGCGTACGCCTTTAATCCCAGCACTCGGGAGGCAGAGGCAGGCGTATCTCTGTGAGTTCGAGGCCAGCCTGATCTACAAGAACTAGTTCCAGGACAGCCTCCAAAACAATACAGAAACCCTGTCTCGAAAAACAAACAAAACAAAAAGAAAAAAGGAATTAACCATGAACTATTTGGATACACAGGGTACTGTGGAGCACACTTGTAATCTTAGCATTTGGAAGGCCAAGGCAAGGTCACTGAGGCCAGATAAAGGCTACCCAGCAAGATTCAAAAAACAACAAAGAAAAGTCATATGAAACACTCAGAAGCAAAATAAAATAAATTGAACACACCATAAGAACCAACGCTGAGGCTGTTAGGACCTCACCAACCACCGGAAACTTCACAAGCTCAACAGAATTTCATTGATGAATGAATCTTTATTTTTGATAATTGTTTCAAACATAAAACCTGACTTTATGTTAAATTCGGCCTCAGTCAACTGCATTGGAAGCTGTTTCAGAAGCAAGACAGACAAATGAGGGGTGTACACTTTATTGAAAACTTTAAATACTTCAGATAGGAC